CTGATGAATGGTGGTTAGAGACCTGTCAGAGATTAGACACTGCAGGTGAGAATGTCACTTGGGTTGTGTTCCGTAGGGAATTTTTGAGGAAGTACTTTCCTGAAGATGTTCGTGGTAAGAAGGAGATTGAGTTCCTTGAGTTGAAGCAAGGGAATATGTCAGTGGTTGAGTATGCTGCCAAGTTTCCTGAGTTGGCTAAGTTTTATCCGCACTACGCTGAGGCAGATGCTGAGTTTTCGAAGTGTATTAAGTTTGAGAATAGGTTGCGCCCGGAGATCAAGAAGGCAGTTGGATACCAGAAGATCCGTGTCTTTGCTGATTTGATTGATAGTTGCAGGATTTTTTAGGAGGATAATAATGCACATTACAAGATTATCATTGAGAAGAGGGGTAAGCACCAACAGAATCTTGGTAAGCCTTATGATACCACAGTTGGTAAAGGTAAACAGAAAGTTGCTCAGGGTCAGAGGACTAGTGGGGGAGATGCTCCTACTGGTGTGGTTTGTTTTAAGTGTGGAAAACATGGGCATAAGAGTAATGTGTGTACTACTGAAGTGAATAGGTGTTTCTGTTGTGGTAAGAACAAACATGTTGTATCTGAGTGTGAACATAAGGATGTGATTTGTTTCAATTGTAGAGAGGAAGGGCATATTGGTAGTCAGTTTCAGAAACCAAAGAGGGTGCAGACAAGTGGTAAAGTGTTCGCTTTGGTGGAGGATCAGACAACTGTTGAGGACAGACTTATCAGAGGTACATGTTTCATTAATAGTACTCCTTTAATTACTATTATTGATACCGGTGCTATGCATTATTTTATTGTTGTTGATTGTGTTGAAAGATTGGGTCTTATGTTGTCTTCCTTGAATGGAGAAATGGTCGTCGATACTCCAGCCAAGGGGTCGGTGACTACTTCTTTTATGTGTGTTAAGTGTCCCTTGTCGATCTTCGACAGAGACTTTGCTGTTGATTTGGTTTGTTTACCGTTTAGAGGTTTGGATATGATTTTTGGTATGGACTAGTTAGAGCATAACTGTGTTCATATTAACTGTTAAGACAAGTCTGTGAAGTTTTCTACTCCTAAAGAAGAGGAAGATGGTTTGTTGTCTTCTGAATAGTTAAGGAAGTTGATGCAAGAGGAAGCACATATGTTCTCTTTGATGGCGTCGCTATATGTAGAGACTCAAGCTATAATTGAGGAATTGCAGGTGGTGTGTGAATTTCCTGAAGTTTTCCCTGATGAGATTCCTGATGTACCGCCGGAGAGGGAAGTTGAATTTGCTATTGATCTTGTACCTGGTACCAGACCCGTGTCTATGGCACCATACAAGATGTCTGCATATGAATTGTCAGAGTTAAAGAAGCAATTGGAAGAGTTACTTGAGAAGAAGTTTGTAAGACCAAGTGTATCGCCGTGGGGAGCTCCAGTGTTGTTAGTAAAGAAGAAAGATGGAAGTATGAGGCTTTGTGTTGATTATAGACAGTTGAATAAGTTGACGATTAAGAACAAGTATCCGCTTCCAAGAATAGATGACTTGATGGACCAATTGGTGGATGCCCGTGTGTTTAGTAAGATTAATTTGAGGCCGAGTTACCATCAGATTAAAGTGAAGGATGAAGATATCCAGAAGACGGCTTTCAGAACGCGTTATGGACATTATGAGTATTCGGTGATGCCTTTCGGTGTTACTAATGCGACAGGAGTATTCATGGAATATATGAATCGTATCTTTCATACTTATTTGGATCAGTTCGTAGTGGTGTTCATTGATGATATTTTGATTTACTCTAAGTCAGAAGAAGAGCATGCATAACACTTAAGGGTAGTATTGCAAGTTTTGAAAGAGAAGAATTTGTATGAAAAGTTGTCCAAGTATGAATTCTGGTTAAAGTAGGTTAGTTTTCTTGGTCATGTGATCTCAGGTAGTGGCATCGCTGTAGATCCATCGAAAGTTGATGCTATGTTGAAATGGGAAACTCCGAGGTCAGCTATAGAGATTAGGAGCTTTTTGGGATTAGCTGGTTATTATAGAAGGTTTATCGAAGGTTTTTCTAATTTGGCACTTTCGTTGACTAAGTTGACTTGTAAAGGTAGAGCTTTTGTGTGGGATGTTCAGTGTGAAGAAAGTTTTACAGAATTGAAGAAGAGATTTACGTCGGCTCCGATTTTGACGTTGCCTAATCCAGGAGAGCATTTTGTGGTGTATTGTGATGCTTCTAAGATGGGTTTAGGAGGTGTGCTTATGCAGAATGGTAAGGTAGTTGCTTATGCGTTAAGGCAGTTAAGGAGTCATGAGAAGAACTATCCTACGCATGATTTAGAGCTTGCTGCAGTTATTTTTGTGTTGAAGATTTGGAGGCATTATCTTTATGGTTCTAGATTTGAAGTGTTTAGTGACCATAAGAGTTTAAAGTATTTATTTGATCAGAAGGAGTTGAATATGAGGCAACATAGATGGTTGGAACTGTTAAAGGATTATGATTTCAGTTTGAATTATCATTCAGGAAAAGCGGATGTGGTGGCTGATACGTTGAGTCGAAAGACTTTACATATGTCAGAAATGATGGTTAAAGAGTTGGAATTAATTGAGCAGTTCAGAGATATGAGCTTAGTTTGCGAGGTTACTCCGCAAAGTGTTATGTTGGGTATGTTGAAGGTTAATAATGAATTTCTAGATAGTATCAGAGAAGCTCAGAAGTTGGATGTGAAACTGGTAGATTTGATGGTTGGGATTGATCAGTCTGAGAATAGTGATTTTAAGCTAGATGCGCAAGGTGTGTTGAGGTTTCGTAATCGGATTTGTATTCCTGATGATGCTGAGATAAAGAAAGTGATACTTGAGGAAAGTCATAGAAGTAAGTTGAGTATTCATCCAGGAGCTACAAAGATGTATCAAGATTTGGAAGGTTTGTTTTTGTGGCCTGGAATAAAGAGTGATGTGGCTCGGTTTGTGTATGCATGTTTGACTTGTCAGAAGTCGAAAGTTGAACATCAGAAGCCTGCAGGGTTGATGCAACCGTTAGAAGTTCCAGAATGGAAATGGGATAGAATTTTAATAGACTTTGTGACGGGGTTACCTAGTACTATAAGAGGACATAATTCGATTTGGGTGATTGTTGATAGGCTTACAAAGTCGGCTCATTTTGTTCCTATTAACATCAATTTTCCAGTGTCGAAGTTGGATGAGATTTACACTAGTGTGATTGTGAAGTTGCATGGTGTTCCTTTGTGCATTGTGTCAGATAGAGATCTAAGATTTACTTCTGATTTTTGGAAAAGTTTGCAAGAAGTGTTGGGTTCTAAGTTGAGGTTAAGTTCAGCATACCATCCTCATACAAATGGTCAGACTGAGCGGATTATTCAATCGTTGGAAGACTTGTTGAGAGCATGTGTTCTTGAGCAGGGTGGTTCGTAGGATACTTATCTTCCATTGATAGAGTTCACTTATAATAACAATTACCATTCTAGTATTGGGATGACACCTTTTGAAGCGTTGTATGGTCGCAGATGTAGAATTCCTTTATGTTGGCATGAATCTGGTGAAAGTGTAGTACTTGGACCTAAACTTATTCGTGAAACTACTGAGAAGGTGAAGTTGATTCGAGAAAAGATGAAAGATTTCCAAAGTAGACAGTAGAGTTATCATAACAAGTGAAGGAAAGATTTAGAATTTCAAGCTGGTGATCATGTGTTTTTGAGAGTTACACCTGTGACTGGTGTTGGGCGAGCATTGAAGTCTAAGAAGCCCACTTCTCGTTTTATTGGACCGTATCAGATTTCGGAGAGAGTGGGGAATGTTGCTTATAGAGTGGCTTTACCGCCTAATCTTTTCGTAGTTCACCTTTAAAATTTTTGAAACACAAGTGTGTTGGTTGATTTTAAGAGACGAGACATCATCATCATATCCGAGTGGAAAACATACTTACTACCCACAATTATGAAAAAGGAGAATTTGCATCATCTCAAAGTGGAGGATATAGCTTGGATTTTAAAATCAACAAAGCCTCACTCGACACCCAAGTGGAAAATATCTCACTTCACTATATATCGTAGAAGTATAGTAGCTCGCATCACTACAAGAATCGACAAGAGTCTGATCTTTTGAGAAAATTTTAAAGTAAAAAGCCAAAGTAGAAAAATGATTTGAATGAGATTGATTGAATTTTAGTCTTCTCACCAAAAATGTCAAAGTATTATTAAGTTGATTAAAGTTTAATTAAGGAAATATTATTGTGAAAATGGTTCAAGTTAAAAACAAGAAGAGTTTTTGAAAGGAGGTAGAAGATTTTTTAAAATTTAAGAAGGGAGGAGAAGAAGGGACTAACCAAAAGCATTTTTATATATCTTTTTAATTATTTTATTTTATTTTATTTTTAATACCTAAAATAAATTAAAACTAAAACAATTAAAATAAATAAGGGAAATATTAAAAGAAATGAGAAAGCAGAGGGAGGTGTGAAATTCTGACTCAAGTGTGCTGAAAAATAAAAAACGTAGGGCCCAGGGTTAGGATGAGGCCCAAAGAAATTTTTGTGTCTAATACCTTCAGCTCCAAAAACAATGGTAACGGGCCAAGGAAAGAATGTGGTCCAGTCCAGAATCGATTTTTTTCTATTCACAATGCCATCAGACTAGAAAAAAAACATATGGGCTCAGGAAGAAGAAAAGCCCAACCCGGTTCAACAAAACTATTTTATATTTTAATATTTTTCATATTTGATACTTATGTTAAAAAAAGAAAAAGAAAAAGAGTAACCAACAAGAGAACGGTGCGTTTTGACAGGTAGAGTTAGGGTTGAAAAGAAAAAGAGATGGTTCAACTTTAAACATGATACTCTCTCTTCTCTACCTCCGTTCTTCTTCTACTTCTTCGTCTAAAAACTCAGAGTCACAACCGCTCTTGCAACATCGATTTTGACGAAACAGCACCACCAATCGTCAATGCAATCTCAACATTTTCCTCCGATCATCGTCACCAGTTGATTTCGTCTTCACTTCAAACATGTTGCATCCTTCTCCGCTCATCTCTGATTCAACTTCATTTGACTCCTCTGATTCTTCCGCGATTGACATCCTCATCTCAGACTCGACTTCATGCTTTATTCGTCTCAACATCGTTGTGACTCCGTGGAGACCTCTTCCTTCGCATCGACTCATCCTCTTCACAGCACTGCTTCCCTCACTTCTTCACGATTCTCTAAACGAAGTTTCTGAATCAAATTTTGAAGATTCGCTCCATCTCGCTTATTCGCTCTCAGTCTCACTTGTGGTTGTGTTTCACATTGTAACAAAACGGATTCAACGCCAGAAAAATAAAACATGCAAAACAAAGAACAAAATAGGATGCAAGTCTTACCAATCGGAGAATCGCCTAGTGCATCTTTAATTTGAGAAAGCGAGAAAACCAGAGGTGAATGCATTTTTTCCTTTTATTCTTATTCATCTCTTTCTATTACTCGTTCTACTTTTTTTGCGTTTCTGAATCTCTTCTGATGCGATGTGTTCTGCGTAAATTGTTTGAATGAATAATGACAATAATGTTGTTGCAGCGAAGAATGAAGATGATGCAGTGATGATGAAGTATACGTGATGTTGATTATTGTTGTAGAGAAGTAGATTCATATTTGTTGATGGAGATGAAGCTGTGCAGAGAAGCAATTAGAGTGTGAGTTTTAGAGAGATAAAGTTTGGAGAAAAGTGCATCATGAACCGTGGAAGCCTCAGAGAGAACTCTGAAGCTTCTCTGAGAAGTTTTTGCAGCAATGAATCGTGTCCCTAGAATGAAGAAGAAGTTCAGATTTATAGTTGCAAGAGTTTGTTACAGGTAAAGCCATCCCAACCTTTGATTTAGAAATTCTATTGCAAAAATGAAGAGCTAAGATTAAAAAATTTCTCCTCTGAAATTCTATTATGAAGCTTGTTAGAGAAGCTTTTAATATGCTAAGTTCTTTTCTCTTTTTTATTTACTTCTTATTCTCCCTGTTTTCTTCTGTTTTAGTTTTAATATTTTTTCATTTTGTACTTGTTTTAAATTCCCTCAATTTTCCTGATTGTTTTTTTTCCAAAACAGATATGCATGTCCCTTGAATGACCACTACTTTAACATGCTGATTTTTGATCATGGCCCTTTCTGATATGGCTTTCGACTATGCAAGTTCATAATCATGGTGCCGTTTGGATAAGCATTCAATATGGGCCTTTCAAATTCGCCTGAATAGTGAAGAATGATGAAAATGACTTGAAGAAAAATGAGGAGGACTTGTACTTATGGTTCTGATTTAGGATGGGTCATTCAAACCAAGTTGTTCTACTACTCTCTCCATAACGTCATCATATGTAAAAACTCGACATCTCTAGGGGGAAATCATCTTCCTTTTTAATGATCTTTGAATCTTGAATTTAGACAAGAATGAAAGTTTTCCTTTGTGATACGGTGGCAGAACCGACTGTTTATACTGGTTTTGCGTTTGTATTCGCAAATCTTGTGGTAAGCAAGAGTTGTCACCGGCTTTTCTTTTATCCAACAAAGGAAAGGGTGAAAAGAACAAAAAAATACATTTTTCGAGATTTTCTGAGTAAGGGGGTAGATTATGGAAAGGGAAGGTGTTAAAACCTTTCCATCTGTGGTTTTCCACGAGCTCTTAGGTACTTGCTCATTTTTGAAAATTATTTTCGTGTTTGTGTGTTTTGAAAAGTTTTGTTTGCTTTATGATAACTCTTGTATGAGTCCTCAAGAGTGTGATAAAGTGTTTTTGAAAAGATTTTTGAAAGTGTGGTGTAAAAAGGAATTAGATTTGAGCAAGTACTTAACAACTATCTACCTACTCGAAAAAGGCGTTCTTTTCCTCCTTTCCTTTAGATAGTGCTATCCTACTATTAGTGAGTAGGTAGCCCTATTGTTGGATGTTTGATGGACTATCAAATGGACGTTTATGGTCATTGAAGGCAAAATGTAGAGATACTTTAGCAGTTCGAAGGGACTGTCATCATACATTTATAGGCAACATCGAGGGACAAGATCATTTCTCGTAGGCAACTCGAGGGACATTGAGAGACTATGATCTTTATGATGACTTTAACTGTGGGTCTTTGCTAAGAGTATCCCTACGTTCGAGGCACATGACCATTTTCAAAGGCAACCAAAATGGGAGATACCTTAGGGGTGCAAGTGTGCAATAATGTGCTTTTTTCAGGTATCTTTATCTTGATGTTAGTGATCTAAGATTGATTGATTAGTTCTTGCTATACACGCCTAATTACTAGTAGTTTATATACAGACATACAATATAATATGGAAAGTGAAGCCTGCAGCTATTACAAGGCTTCAGGGTAGATCCAATTATATCTGACTGAAATGTAAAATGCGGAAAGTAAAAATCCTAATTAGGCTATTACAAACCGGGAAACAGTTACATAATCGAGAAAATAATCGTATGAAAAATAATGACGCGCAAAAATTAAGACGGAAATAACTTTGAAACCCTAAAAATCTAATTGCTTATTAAAAATATTTTTTTGGTATTTTATGAAAAAAATTGAGATTTAACCTAATTTCTAATTAATTTTAAATTAAAGAAAATAAGTTAAAATTAAATTAAATTAATTTGCAAGAATTAATTTTAATTAAAAAAACCTAAATCTATTTTTTTTGTGATTTTTGTTGATTTTATGATTAAAATAAAATTGATTTTAAAAGTAATATAAAACAAGTTAAATAAAATAAATTAAGTAAAGAGAAAAAGAATTGGGCCTGATGTTGTAAAGTAATTTGGGGGTGTATGCGCTGAAAATTATCCAGGCCTAGATCTGTTGGCCCACTATAGTGTATGGTCTAGTAGTGCTGCATCTGGAAGGTCCACCATGGAGTTGCACCCTTGGAGGCACTGGATCCAAGCCACTGGGATCTGATGGTGTGAGTTTGAGGGCCTATGATGCATGCCTTGAATCTGGGCACACTGAATCTGTAAATAGCTTGTTAGAAAAATAAAACGCTGGACCTGGGATTCGAACCCAAGTCATCCCTTTCCCACACGCCTTGCTTTGCCATCTGTGCTAACTCTTCATTCGTGTACATAAATGAAACAATAATATAATATGCAAAATTAGGTCAGATATATTAACAAATAAAACGTGTGCGCTGAGTGGGCCCCTGGAGTTTAAATGAACCAATCAAGGAACGATGTCCAGCCACGCCAGTGCAGGGAAGGTCAAACCACCCCTCACGGTGGTTGATCACCATCGTCTCCGATAATATCAAAATTGGAACCTACAAAATAACAAGAATCAAAGCCAGAGATTAAGCCTACCCCCCTTAAATCATATGTTGTGAGTTCAATGGTGGTGTCGATTTGGCCTGAAAGCCCCTGTATTGTAAGGTTTAAAGGTTTCAGTTTGTGATGTCCTAACAATGGCATCCTGTGATTCAAGCATCAAAGCTTTCATGCGAAACGTCCAACCTATTCTAATGGATGTCCTAAACACAAACCAACACATCAAACATGTCAACAATGCATGAATTATTAAATTTGAATTTATCAAACCTTACCAAACTGGTGGCGCTTAGTTACAGTGATCTGGGGTGCTACGAGCTTCAAGAATGATAGGGATGGACTCCTGGGACCATCAGGAGTGTGATGGAGTGCTTAGATCTGATGGAGAATGGATGGATCGTACAATACAAGTTGCACCTTCTCTTTGAATTTTTTTGAAAATTTCTTAGGGTTATTTTAGAGGCAGTTGCGCATGTCCCTTAGGTCTGGAGTTGTTAAGCATATATATGGGACCAAATTAGGGTAACAAATGTGGAAGAATATCCATGCTTTGATGAGAAAAAATCTTCTTTCAATTATGTGATTTTTTTTTGGCTTTTTCAGAACAAATCCAATCTTTCTTTTCTCCACGAGCTTCCCTTGATATGCCAGTATATTTTGTCCATTATTTGATGAGAAAAAGATTCTAAATCATATCTTCCATTATTTCTTTTATTTATTTATTTTATTTTGCATTTTAATGGATAAAATATCAAAATAAATAGTATAAATAATAAAACAATGTATGAATAATCTCAGAGGTCGTGGGCCATGTTAGAAACAAGTTTCAAGCATGAGAAGATGGGCCCATTTAGAAAAAATTCAAGTCTGGTCAATATTGGCTTCATGCATTTTTCCAAAAATTGGTCAACTTTAGCAATGCATATCTCTCTCATTTTTAACCCTAAGAGTGTGTTCTTGGACTTTTTAGAGAGCTTAGGGTGTCCTCTAAACAACCCTTTTTGTTCATTTCAATTGGATCTTCCATGTTCATGTAAGGAGCTTTGACCCAAAAGGTGTTTTTGTTGACTTTTTGAAATGACCTATAATGCCTAAGCTTGTATCTTTTAACTGGGCCGTTTCTTGATCTTGGGGGCTGAAGAGAAGTTGTAGGGAATTGGATTCTCTTCAAAATGAGCTTTGGTGAAAAAAGTTTGATAAAGTATGAGAAAGTTATGCCTAGTCAAAGTTTGGTTGACTTTTTCTATAGAAACCCTAATTTGCCATTTTTAACTTTTGATGAGTTAGGAGCATTTCTTGAGGAATCATGATCAACCATTGATCAAATGATGTATGTTACTTCAAAATGTTAGTGTTGATCAAAAATCTTGAAGTTTGACTGTATATAGGCCACAATTGACTTTTGACCTAGTATAGTTGATTTTCAGGCATTTGAGCAGTTAATTGAGCAAACTTGTTGTGTAGGGCATGAAATTTGGCACGGATAACCTTGGGGACATATTAGGGCCATGGAAAACATTTGAGACCATTGGATCTCACACATCTTGATGAAAACTGAAACCCTAGTTAGAGGTTTATTGCCTTAGGAGGAAAATTTGTCTGGTCAATTCTTAGTCATCCTAGGGCAAGTTGGGGACCTCAATGGACATGTCTTCAGTAAAATGAGAGGGAAAATTTTGGGGTAAAAAATCTTCCCCTGTTCAATCTTCTTAAACCCGAGGATGTAGATTGGCTGGTCTGCCTTTCGTGATCTAAAGGTGAAAGATGATTGAACACTAGAGTGTCCAAAAATTTGCACTCGTCTGAAGTGATACCTTTCGTGGATGATATCGGGAATGGGCTTATATATGCAATTTGTAAAAGATGACAGAAGATCGTCGGAGATGGGCTTAAAGATGTCACCCATAGAATGTGACAGAGAGTCGTTGGAGATGGGCTTAAAGATGCCATTTGGAACAATGTTGATTTCATGAGATATTCCTTTGTGGGGATTCCTATTCTTGTTGTTGAGGAGGCCTCCACTGAGGAATGTTGGTCTCTGTTTTGGGAAATAGAGTTCAGGAGATTCAGTTGTCCATTACTCTACTGGGAAGTCATCTCTTGATCAGAGAGACGAAAGTGAACTGCTATTTGGTCAGGATCCAGGCTTCACAGTGACTTGCTAAGGATAATAAAGCTGACTGCTATTTAGTCGTATTCCAGTCTTCACAGAAATCTACTGGGGGAACATGAAATTAACTGCTATCTGGTCGGACTCCAGGCTTTACAGTTTCTTTAATTGGTTAAAAA